TATAGGCCTAGGCCAAACTGGCCTCCTAAGATGTTATGCAAGTGAAATCCCCAATGAAAGAACTGTGTTAGAAGTGTGGGCACATTTTCATTTTGGTGTCGAATTCGTCATGATATAAAACACAATATAGGGCCTAGGCTACAAGGATTAAGGAATATTTTTATATTGACAGAAAGAAAACGCGTCTTTACACATAGCGTGCTATCGATTTCTAAAATGTTGTCTTTAAATTGTTATTTTATATATAGAAACAATTGGGACATCATATTAGAAACTTATAAAGGGCGTTCATAGCATGGATTTAAGCAATATACCAAAGATAAAGACTAATGAGAATTAGTTTTGAGCACGCTGTGAATCAACAATGGCATGTTCATTAGTCAGCTTTAGAGGATTTTCGTACCTGATAGGAGTCCTGCACTTCAATTTACATATCCATTTACTGCAATATGAGATAACTACACAGTACTAAAACAATCTGCACTGAAGTACTAATACACTAATTTAATTAAAACATTGCACAAATAGCAAACAAAGAAAATTTGAAGCAGGACAAAAGAAACTAAAGTTCTACACAATACAAACAGAAGACTCGCGAAAACTGACACAACACAATCTCAAGCCAAGACGACGACGACGACTACGCACGACGGTGGCAAGGCAAGAATAATAATTTGACCTAGTTACAATGCTGCCAACGACACGAAAAGTGCCAAAAACTCCAAAAATGTTATACTATAAAAAAGCTTTGTTCGGAAATGTTACTGATTTTTTCCAGTTATTATGAATTGAATAGTTATGTTTTTTGTAATAATTATATACTAATTATTTAGTTTTAATGTCGGTTAAATAACAATAAAACAAACAATAGAAAACGAAAAGCCCTCGTGTATAAATCCATTTTTTCCTAAGTTGCGGTTTGTACACCGAATGGCATCGGCGTCAATAATAATAACTCAATAACTCATTTATTTTGAACCAAAATAACAAATACCTGCAAAATTTGTAATGGTCATGTCAATTAATACAGTATCTTAAAACTTAAATTAAAAACAAACTATAAACAATTGCTTCGATAAAACTATAGGTCTACCAATTATAGTCCTTTCGAAAAACCAACAAACTAAAACCATCAGCGACCCAATATTAAACGCTGTAGTAACCCTTAGCCAAGAGTTGTTTTTTTTTTTTTTTTTTGCTTTCTCGGGATCACACTGGACTTATGACTTATGACATTTTGGCACCTTGTCGTGGTGTGGTGACAGATTGTCGAGAGCGTGCATGGCAACCATTAATTTCAATGATAACCATATCTCTAGCCCTGATGATAACCAACCAAACCACCTCTGATAAAAGTGTGGTGGCAAGTAGTTGCGTCGTCTCACATTCACTCACATTGTTAAAGGTGGCATGACACCATTTACCATTTATTGTAAATGTTAGTTTTATTTTTGAAACTGTAATTATTGACGCAGCCTATCCAGCTTATGCTGGTATCAAGCCAATGAGGAGGTAATGAGGTAATTTACCGTTTAGGCTTCTCCACCATGGTGGAAGGAAAAATTGTGTCTTTTCCTTCCACCATGCTTCTCCACGGTCTTGAGGATCGGGGAATCATCATTCATCGAATTTGTGTTTCATTGCATATTAAGTATCTTTGTAATTTGGCCTATGTATATATTTATAAAATTCTGATTTCGTCATGAATAAATAAAATTTGTACATTGTATTACTTTAACAAATTATGCATTAATCCCCTCCAACATTTTTATAAATACAGTCTTATAATCGAAGATGAAGTTGAGAAAGATCAATTCCTTTTTTGTACTGTCTGCAGTGTTTGCTGCTGCTGCACTGCTGCAGCCTAGGTAGGTTGTAGAGGACATCCGTTTCAATCGCGGATTACTCCTCTCCAATGCGCATGCGCAAACAAACTGTTCCATGGGACTATGGGAGCTGTAACAAGTGACACGCGTTCGATGACGATGGAAGGAACGGATACTGCAACCGGTTAACCTCACTTTGTTCTCCCAGTCAAACAAAGCCAACGCCAACTCACTCAACTAGGGTTCACCCATGGTGGAAGGAAAAAACAGGGTTCACCTATATAGATCCTATATACTAGATACCGTAATGTGGAATTTAGGTTATTATTTTCCTTAGTTGTAAAATTTCTATACATTTTTATTTCTACTTTTAACCTAACCAACCCATATTAGTACATTGATGATGACACAGGTAAGGTAATATTGAAAATCCAATCCAATCCAATTCCACTCGCGGCCATTTGGATACATAAGAAGATAACTTAGATGCAGTAAAATGGTAAACATATACGTATATATGTATATTCTGAAAATTAACATTGACAGCTAGACTGAAACCGTCCGTTAGATCAGGCCAACTTCATCTCTGTCCTCTGTGTTACAAATTTACAAAATAAAGGAACCTAACTTAACTTCTCACATTCCTTTTATTATTCCAAACGCTTTATTCCATTACAGTCAATGTCACTACATTTGTTAAACAAGAGTTTAATTTATAACTTTATGCAGGCCTGACCCGAACATACATTGTCGAGCGATCAAGTAGGCTACTTAGTTTCAGCACAAACTATAAAATAAGTATCAATAATTTGTAAATATTTAACTGGCATAACTAACATAATATTAGTGTAGATATTTTGAGATAGGTCTAGGCTAGCTTGGTATACGCCTAATAATCTATTAATATTCAAGTTTAATTTACAAATTATGTTTCTAGCTTTAAAGTATGTTACTTTCAAGTTTTTATTGATACCTAGATCACAGCCACCTCTAATACAAGGCCGCGGCGAGTGAAAAGCGGCAACGTCGCATCAGTGTCTTGGCGTTCGGTTGTTTTACCATTACATTGAATGGAGGAGTCGCGTACTCTACGTACATAATCGCGTTTCTACTACCTTTAATCATTAGTAATGACATTAAACTTCTTACTACAGCATGCCAGATAGATGTGATGTGCCTGGATGCAAGAATAATTACAATAGCTCAATTAAAAATGAATAATACATACAGTGTTCTAAGATTCTACTTGATCCACCGCGTAAGCAACAATTAATTGCTTTCTGCTATTCTTCGATCAAATTAGACATCTAAAAAATATCCTCGTTTTTGTGTGAAACATTTTTCACGAATATGAGCTTAGATTAAATTTGTAAAAAAAATGTAAGAATAAGACAATGATTCGTGTAAATATAGACGCGAGAAGCAAGTTTTAGGTAGTAATGCCGTACTATTTCCTTGTTTATTTGTCTATCTTATTGATAAATGCTGTTGTTAAGTGATTAAAATAACTTAAATAAATGCCACTTCAAAGAAATAAGCCGGCGTTTCTGTTAAGTAGGCCTACTAGTAAAAAATATGTAACCTACTGCACCATCTAACAATAAAAGCATCATAGTCTCCGAATCCAGTCTGAATGTTGATGTGATAAAAAATTCTATTAATATTGTGGAAAGCCATATGGAGGCCTAGCTTCTGAAATCGTTTACAAAATGGCAAACGTTTTTCATAGTAATTATTCAAAGAAAATAAATTATTTAGTCAGTATGCCTTCAATATGAAAACTTCAAATTTTGTTGTCGCTAATTTATGGTTTCCTCAGGCATACTAAAACATAATATTCCTATTAAAAATTTAAAATTAATTTTATTTGAACAAATTGTTAGATGTTAGTCTCTACAAATCCCAAAGTCTCTACAAATATTGAAGTGGCAATAATTTAGTCCTACTGAATAACCATTCTTGGTATAGTAGCTTTATTTTGTAAAATTTAAGCACAGTCTGTCTAGTAGTTTTTACTATGTTGAATAACACACATATATACAGACACCATGAGATTGTTATATAATAGTGTAGATTAACAAAGGAAATATTTAAAGTTCATCTATTTCCACATTCATCGTACTTACAATACGATAAATGTAACCAAAAACATTATGTTTGTATATTTTTAGTTTTAGACATATTGCGGTATGTTGCAAATTTTCACTAAATAAACAACCTAGATTACAATTTTGTCTATTTTACCATACCTTAAAATCTACTAAAATATGTTAAACGTATTTAAATACTTTCATTCATTGATACAGAGCAGCAATACTCTCATTGATGTTCATAGCCTAGCGCGTGTGAAGACGGACGCAGAGGGGGTGTGATTGCGGCGTTGCCAGTTCGAACGGTGCGGCCTTGTATTAGAGGTGGCTGTGCCTAGATCCATAATTTTTTATTGTGATATCACAGATATAGTACTTTAATGGTGATATAGCTGACTCAGAACATGGTGTGGTGATCTAAAATGCAGTAAGATTCTTTCAAACCAAAAGGCAGCAATTTAGGATAGTAAGTCAATATTATAAAATTACCGTGAAGTGAGGGGGTGGACTTGCACATGAGATCCTAAAATAATAAACCAACATATAAGCAAGAACCAGAAAGTATACTAAAGTAAAAACAAAGCGCAGACTAGTTGGTAAAAGTAAAGGAACAACCGTGCTATATTCAATTCATTGTACTGTGTGAGTGAGACTGTACACGTTGTAGCAGATAAATCTGATATCTGATATATGTCACAGTTCCACGGAACGGTTTACTCACGCATGCGCAGTATGAGAGGAGTAATCCGCGATTGAAACGGATGTAGGAGAGGAGCTTAGAGTTGTTAGTGTTAGTGTTAAGTGTGGTTGTCATATTTGATAATTGATTTCTGTTTATATTGTTTTTGAATTTTGATCAACTAACTGTTAATTTTGCCAAATGCTATGTTGTCAAAATGAAACCAGTCAAACGTATACAGTCCAATATAATCGGAGAAGAACAATAATTGTGAACAAGGCTTATGTAAAGTGTACCAGTGAAGATAACCTGAAAGTTACCCATCAACAGTGAACAATTTCAAATTATTTACTTTGATTTCAACGTTAAACGATTTTAGTTCTGGTACATCACTGTAGGCTAGGATCTAAAGGTGACCAATCTATTTACAAGCATTCATTGGTTAATATTGCGTAACTCACTCTATGGTATAGAACTAGCTTAAGCCTAGGTTAGGCTCACTGCACAACTCATTGCTTTTAGTACAATTAGACAATTGTACGCTTAACAATCTTGGAAATTCCAACTTAGACTACATTTATTTCTTAATATTTAATCTCATAATGGAATCAACTGACCAAGAGAACTCTGGAAATGATGGTAAAACCTGTTTGTTTTTCAAGCGGAAACGAAACGTAAGATCAAGAAACATAAGAAGTAAAGACTCTAGCAGTAGTGAGGATGAAACTACAGTCGTTAAAAAAGATAAGAAAGAAGACAAATCAAATCCTTTAATTCAAAAGTCCAATTTCAAGAAAGTGATAAAACCTGATTCAGCAGCAAACGAGTCCTCAAGTGATGATGACAAAGTCACTGTTTCTTACCGGTCTAAACGCACAGCTGCTCCTGAGGGGCCCTCCGATCAAGGTGCAACAGCAGTGTTGGAGATTGAAACTGAAACTGACAGGGACGCTCAGGCAATATTTGAACGGTCACTGAAAATCAACAAAGAACTTAAAGGAAAAGAAGATGATAGCATATATAGAGGTATGGCAAACTATACTCAATTTTACGAAAAGAGAGACACCGCCCAAGGCAATGCTTCAAGTGGCATGGTTAGAAAAGGACCGATTCGAGCTCCAGCACATTTGAGGAGTACAGTTCGGTGGGACTACCAACCCGATATTTGTAAAGACTATAAAGAAACCGGGTATTGTGGTTTTGGTGATAGCTGTAAATTTCTACACGATCGTTCTGATTACAAGTTTGGATGGCAAATAGAGACAGATGCGGCATCAGGGGTTGTAGATGATGAAGATGACACAAAATATGAAATTGATGATGATGAGAACAACTTGCCTTTTAAGTGCTTTATTTGCAGGGACTCGTTTACAGATCCTATTGTTACTAAATGCAAGCATTATTTTTGTGAAAAGTGTGCTCTCACTCAATATAAGAAGTCAGCACGTTGCTACATTTGTAATCAGCAAACTCATGGAGTTTTCAATCCAGCAAAAGAAATTATAAGCAAGCTAAAAAATACTGCACCGAAAAACGAAGAGTCTTCTGATTCAGATTAGAAGTCATCTTAGAACTTGAATGATTTAAAACTTGTACACACTGAAGGTTTTATTGTAAAAATCTCTTGCAAATGTGACAGTTTTTTTAGCCCAGCCTACTTTTGATTAGAGTATAAAACAATGCTATTTATCAAACCCTTGGTCAAAACATAAGCTCACCCTTAAAAACTTAATTCCTCAGCATGTTGGCGCAATCAATTTGGTCTTGTAGTCTTGTAATTTACATTTTAATCTCATCTTTTTATTGCCAATCTGGAAAGCTAAATAACATCACAGCCTACCTAATAAACCCTATTAGGCTACCATTGACTATTAGTCAAAGCTATGATTTAGCTAAGCAGGAGCCCACATAAATTGAAACTCTTTACCCTACTCTTAAATATTATCTAAGTTACTACTGTCCGTGTCAAGCTCCATAGTTTATGTTGTAATCTCCAACATTCTAATATATAAAAGTCATTGACCGTATTACCATGATTGAAGTTATATTGATTTTTAATAACTCTTTTCTGCCCATTAATATTTTTTATTCGATTGGCTTCTACGCTTTTTAAAAATAACCTTGTTTTCAACCATTTCATTGCTTTGAGATCTTAATTTTTAAAGACAAAATCATTTTAAATACCGGTATTTTTAATGGCACGTTTTGGTAACATTTATCGATTTTCGATCAAATTAGAGTATTACTCTTTAAAAAGTATTGTACACAGTAGAACCTCTTTAATCCGAACCCCCGTAATCCGAACGTCCACTAATCCGAACGCCTCATGTACTCCATACACAGTACAGTAGTTCTATACGTACGCACAGTAATTGTTTCTATTCTAATGTACAGTAGGTACTGTTTATTCACTATGTTTACTACGGTATTAAATGAACACTGCATTTTACTTTATAAAGCACTTTTTTTCACTTTTCCTGTAACAACGAAGAGCCAATTTAGCCATGTTGTATCTATTGTCATGTAAAAACAACATGTTCTGTAACCCGAACTATTCAATAATCCGTACTACCCCCGGTCCCAATTAGTTCGGATTAAAGAGGTTCTGCTGTAGTATTTAGGCCCTACTGTAGAGCCCCTGTGTTATTTAAGTCATTAAGGACATGTTGGAGTTTCACACTTAAATGGTTAAGTGTCATATAACCATAGCCACCTCTAATACAAGGCTGCAAAGAGACGTTAGTTGGCAACGACACAATCCCAGTCTACTGAAACAGCAGTCTCATCAATTCTTAATGGAGCTTATGTGCAATATTTATGATGTTATTAATGTTATTACAATGGCAATAGGCCGGCTGGCGAGACGTTGCCACACAACGCCGTGGCCTTGTGTAAGGAGAGGTTATAGTAAAAAAAGTAGTAGTATCTTCATTATGGGTAGGGTAGGCCCTACCGTAACTTATGGAAATTTAAATTTGTTTATTTATATTTTAGTATAATTTATTGTTTTATACCATCTTTTACAGTGTTCCATTGTGCCTAAACCAAATTAAGGCTACCGACTATTTAAACAATTTTCCAAAGATTAAAGTATCTTGATTCCAACAATGACCTCCAAAAATTCTATGATTTTGTAAATGTTATATTTTTGTAAATATAGCTTGCTGAGACTAGTCATATTAGTTTTCATTAAATCCTTCTAATACCTCGTTGCATACATTTAAGAATCAAGAAAATACAAATAACCAGTTTTTAGAGGACATTATTTAACAACTTTCAATATTACTGTTGGAAGTGTGGTTTTAGTCACAATAAGATGGTTTTGTACTACGAAATGCTAGAAAAAGTAACACTGCGCTTGGTTAACACTCCTTCAATCTTATGTAAAACATATTTAGCTTTTTGTAAACTGTCACACTCTTACTCGTACTTTCAAGCTAGTTTTTCAGTTGAGGAAAATATAAATTTGAAAGGAATAAAGGAAAATAAGTTACAATAATTTAAGGTTTTATTTGACACATTTTTTGTATTGTAGGTTTTATTTGATTTTGTACGATACTTATTTGTTCTAATTTTGACAAGAGTACCTGGTACTTTCCCTTACACTAACGAGTTTTCATCGTGTTTCCTGCACATTTGAAAAATGTCACTTACCCAATATGATTGATACCCATAACTCATGATTGCATTTATAAATTACAATAATTTGTTCGGTTTTAGCGAATTTTCCTATAGGGAAGTAGCTATTAACGTATGTGGCACGGTAAGACCTAGGCCTGGGACCGAATTACTTTTTCATTTTGATGTCTCCAGAGGCCAAAAACACCATTCGTTCAAATTTGTATATATAGGTATATACATATACGTCCGTGAACCCGATAGCTTGAGTAATTTTTGTCAAATTTTGATGAAATATGGTTTAAAGGTGTAAGGCGGGATAAACTTGAATGAGTTAGTGAACCAGCATAATCGAACCATGGGAACGGGGTTTTATAGAGGTAAAAAATGGTTTTTCTCATCTTTGACCATCAAAACACAAAATTTCCCACGGTGTACGGTTTTTGGTACAGGGGAAAATAAAAAAAAATTAATTTTAAAATTCCCATGTTATTGTAAAATGTTGGAAAATATTGTAATATGTTGTAGTTTGCTTGTTTATGGATATATTTTGATCAAACTTGGCAAATTTATTTATTTTATCCTAAACTATTAATATTTTACTAAAAACCACACTTTATTAGCCTCCCTGTAGCAGCAAACCTAGGTACTTGTTAAACCTAATGTTATTTAAATTGATTTAATTGAAAATCAATTCAGACAAATGGAAATTCGCTTAGTTGGCAGGTTTGCTACGGCGGGGGTATTTATAAATAATAAATGTTTAGCAACATTTAAAATGGCCAGTATCCTGTAAAGAGTGTTGTGTTGTATTTACCTTTTCTCAGGTGAATCATGGATCTGGAGCAATTATCATCTCGAGGGTCTGCCTTGGAGGATCCTACCGATCCGTCACAGGCTTACCAGCCCTTTATCATCATGGAGGAGCTCATGGATAAATTGAAAGTTTTAAAATACGGCGAAGAGTTCATCAAAGCTTTAAAAATGCGTCCACTTAACAGGTACTAAACTAGCACAAATATTTGCCTAATGTATGTATATTTTGCTATTGTGGTTGAAAAGCTTGGTTTCAAATACACAAATTACTTGTACAATTTGAGAAGATCACTTGTGAAAGCCATGCCATGTTTTATTCTGCTTTTTATTAATAGTCTTTTATTACAAAAGGTCCAAAAAGAGCTATTGTCCTTTGTTCCCTCAACAAAACTAAAATATAACTTTCAGTGGAGTTTTTGAAATGAAATGAAGCACCTAATCTGGTTTGCTGTCTAATAAGACATAATAACTTTTAATCAAATATTTTGATCTGATAACACAACATTTTTCAGCAATTGTCAATGCGTGATTGTTGAATCTTAAAATTGAGGTGTGAACCCTAAAATTTCTAAGGAACTATAAACGCTAATATTCTTTCTCCATTCATACTTATCACCGTTATTCCCACAGATGATTGTGCTCAAGCACGAAAAACCATTAAATCATCAAACAATGATTTTCTAGAAATGGTATTTCTAGAAACCTTTCTTAAAGATAGTTCAAAGTTCTTAGGGAGGGCTGTTACAGTTGATTTTCATTATAAAAAGATCCCCGGTTCTTGTTTGTGACAATAATTGTGAGATTTTATAAAACTGTTAACATGAAGCCTCCTCTAAAACATGGCTGCGCCCTATGACAGCTCTCAGATATGTCAGAGGAGAGCATGGGTACGCCGATGAAGTCGCAGCCCTCATTGCTGCAGCAACGTTGAGCTTTCCCAACTGAAACCAAACCAGGACATGCATTTAGTAAATGCCTGGACGGCTGATCAAGACAGAGATCGTCGTCCTTATGAAAGATATTGAAACCGTAGTTCCGCTACGAGTGGGGAACGTAGCTGTCCAAACCCCCAAGTACTTGGTGTCATAGTGGACTTGTTAGTTGAGATGGAGGGACCATATCTTCCATACTGTGGACAAGGCTGCTAGGATTATCACTACTCTGTGTATGCCCGACCTAATGTATGGGGTCCTTGGTCAAGCCGGAGAAGACTCTTGATGTCTGCAGTCCAGTCCGTGCTTCTCTAAGGCTCTGAGGTATGGGAATAGGCATACGCACTCTGTCAGGAATTGGTACAGTGTGTAAGCAATAAACAGCTACACACGGGAGTAAGCCCCTTGGGCGTAGGTAAACTCTACTTAGTTCTGATGAAGTGGAACAAGTGTTCCCAGGAGGTTATAGTGGGTAGTCTTTGGGTCTTAAACCCATTGGAGTCCCACACTACAGACTAGCCACCTGTGTGCATAAACATATTTCCCATTCGGTAGTCTTTGGGTCTTAAACCCGTTGGAGCCCCACACTAGACTAGCCACGTGTGTGCATAAACATATTTTCCATTCTTTCCCTGAAACAAAATACAAGACTGCAGGCGCTGCACCCAACAATGGACCAACACCACATTCACTGGCATATTACCATAGTAATAACAAATTTTGTACATCACATTGTATAGACGCTCCAAATGAGTTAGTGCTACAGCCGTCTTGCACATTAATGGCTAGTTTAAATGTGTCATCTTCATATATATATATATTCTCTGCCCAGCAACGTTTGATTGATTTATACATCTAACAAAATTCAGTAGTCATAGGGCCAAATCATATCTAAGGACATTACCTTTTAAATGTTCTGGATATAAATGTCTGGGTTTTTTGCAATACAAGATTGTTCCCTTTAGGCCTATGTTAAAGAATAGAGAATTTTTCCAACGCCAACACAAGAGGGCGTCAGTTTTATCAGTTGTTTTAGGCACAGATGAATGAACAATGAGTGTTGAACGATTATGAGATGACAGCTTAGATAGTTACTGAGATATCAGCTGGTTCTTTTACCAGGATCATTTATCAACCCCTCCGGGACAGGCAACTTTTATGGCCTAGGACAGGCAAAAATTATTCAAATAAAAAGTAGCGGGAAGTAGAGCCTTGGTAGCTTGAGACATCTGGGTACTGCAAAAACACTAGCCAGGGCTGTCTGATGATAAGGCAGACATATCCGTTTCCCGGCCAGAACAAACCAACCCATATGCCGATATATCCGTCCGCGAAGGGTTAAAAGCACAGTGAACAAGGACAGCTGGTTCCACTTTTGAAGCGTTAAACAAGATTTTGAATTTTCTCAGGATTGAGCCGGAAACTTTCTAATTAGTGATTACTAGCATTAGCACACAGCAGTCTTAGCTCTGATTACTAGCATTAGCACTCAGCAGTCTTAGTTGTGATTACTAGCATTATAACTCAACAGTCTTAGCTCTGATTACTAGCATTAACACTCACCAGTCTTTAGCTCTGATTACTAGCATTAGCACTCAGCAGTCTTAGCTCTGATTACTAGCATTAGCACCAAGCAGTCTTGGCTCTGATTACTAGCATTAGCACTCAGCAGTCTTAGCTCTGATTACTAGCATTAGCACTCAGCAGTCTTGGCTCTGATTACTAGCATTAGCACTCAGCAGTCTTGGCTCTGATTACTAGCATTAGCACTCAGCAGTCTTGGCTCTGATTACTAGCATTAGCACTCAGCAGTCTTGGCTCTGATTACTTGCATTAGCACTCAGCAGTCTTATCTCTGATTACTAGCATTAGCACTCTGCAGTCTTGGCTCTGATTACTAGCATTAGCACTCAGCAGTCTTGGCTCTGATTACTAGCATTAGCACTCAGCAGTCTTAGCTCTGATTACTAGCATTAGCACTCTGCAGTCTTGGCTCTGATTACTAGCATAAGCACTCAGCAGTCTTGGCTCTGATTATTATCATTAGCACTCAGCAGTCTTGGCTCTGATTACTAGAATTAGCACTCAGCAGTCTTGGCTCTGATTACTAGCTTTAGCACTCAGCAGTCTTCGCTCTGATTACTAGCATTAGCACTCAGCAGTCTTGGCTCTGATTACTAGCATTAGCACTCAGCATTCTTAGCTCTGATTACTAGCATTAGTAATCAGCAGTCTTGGCTCTGATTACTAGCATTAGCACTCATCTGTCTTGGCTCTGATTACTAGCATTAGCACTCAGCAGTCTTAGCTCTGATTACTAGCATAAGCACTCAGCAGTCTTGGCTCTGATTATTATCATTAGCACTCAGCAATCTTGGCTCTGATGATTACTAGAATTAGCACTCAGCAGTCTTGGCTCTGATTACTAGAATTAGCACTCAGCAGTCTTGGCTCTGATTACTAGCATTAGCACTCAGCAGTCTCGGCTCTGATTACTAGCATTAGCACTCAGCAGTCTTAGCTCTGATTACTAGCATAAGCACTCAGCAGTCTTGGCTCTGATTACTATCATTAGCACTCAGCAGTCTTAGCTCTGATTACTAGCATTAGCAAACAGCAGTCTTGGCTCTGATTACTAGCATTAGCACTCAGCAGTCTTAGCTCTGATTACTAGCTTTAGCACTCAGCAGTCTGGGCTCTGATTAGTAGCATTAGCACTCAGCAGTCTTAGCTCTGATTACGTCCTCAACATTCGAATGTTGGAATGACAGATTTGATGTTTTTGCCGGCAGTGTCCAGCAGCTTGCGG